AAAAATATGAGAGCTACTACGGTAGCAGAAATTTTGTTAATCAGGTTGTTTCTAGATATGGGGTCCCGTTGGAACTTCATACTGATCAGGGAAGGAATTTTGAATCACAGCTCTTTCAAGAATTGATGAGAATTTTGGGAATTAGGAAAACGAGGACGACCGCTCTTCATCCTCAGTCTGATGGTCAAGTTGAAAGACAACATCAGACGATTTTACAGTATTTGTCAAAGTTTATTGAAGAGAATCAAAAGGATTGGGATCGTTGGATTCCCATGTTTCTTCTTGCCTATAGGACCTCTAAAACATGAGGCTACAGGCGTAACTCCTTCAGAATTATTTTGCGGAAGAGATCTTACCTTGCCGATGGATTTGCTAAGAGGTACTCCTCCCAGTTATGGTTTTTCCGAGTCAGCGGAAGAGTACATTCGAAATTTGCGGCAGAAGCTGGATGAAATTCATCAGAGAGTAAGAGAGAGATTAGAATCAAGGTCTTTGAAGATCAAGTGCCGCTATGATCGAAAGGCTAGGCATCTCGTTTTTGAGGAAGGACAGAAGGTTTGGTTATTTAATCCTCATCGTAAGAAGGGTAGATCTCCCAAACTACAGAACGATTGGGAGGGGCCTTTTGAGATAATTAAGAAAATTAGTGATGTAGTTTTCTGTATTTCTCGTTCAGGTGGTCGGAAAAGCAAGGTTGTGCATGCTGATAGGTTAGCTCCGTATAAAGAAAGGGAAGAATTTTAAGTAGAGATTTTCGGGGCCCGGTTTTCCAATTTCGACGTTACTTTTATTTCTTGTTAATTGTTTTGAGTTACTGTGTTCTGTTTTATCTTTCTTTAAGCTTCCTTTCGTCGTGAGAAGCGTCATGGGGAGATCCTCGAGCCTGAGCACCAAGCAAGATCTTCAACTCGTGCTTCAAATTGAAAAGAAGTCTGCCTCGCCCCGGTTTCCGAGTCGTGGCTTTTCCGGGGGACGATGGGCGAATGCCGAGGCAGGGGCTTAGTGTGTCTTTAGAAAGACGAAAGAGTCCACGACGATTACCCCACTTTGCCCGAAAAATAGAAGAGAGAAGTGCGCAAAGCTCAAGACGAAGAGTCAAGAGTGAAACGCGCGAGAATTTCAAGAACAAGATTCTTCTGAAGAGTAGAGAAGACTGAGATTGGAAGTAGCGGCGCCCGCTAACCTGAGGCAGCAGCCCAGGATAGGGCAGGAAGTCGCCAGGAGTCCAGAAGTCTTTTCTTAAGAGGAAGTTCTTGAAAGAGGAAGAATTGTCGGGACGACAATTTTATGAAGAGGGGGGCAGTGTTGCGGCCGTGCGGTATTCCGTTCGGCGCTGCTAAGAAATAATCAATATCAATCGATAAGAGTTTGAATAGAGGATCGGCCCTTGGCAACGCGTCGTTCTCCGACTGTTTTATAGATTTGACGGCCGGATTCTGCGGTGGCCGGACGTGTTTCTGTACCGTTGGTTTAATAAAGAGCGAGTCTTTCTTAAAACAGTGTTCTTCTTTTCCGAGAGCGCTCCGCCGAGTATCGCGATCACGGGAAGTAACGCCGCGAACGCGACAAATATTGAACCTAAAACAACACACAAGCCGGTTTCGGACCAAACAAATCCTGTGTGGACCACATTAACGTTCTAAGAATAATTATTGAACAAGTTCCACTCTCCATTCTTTGTAACGTTTATTGATTTTCAAAGAGCCTTCCGTCACACCGTCTACAGTGCTATTTGGCAATCCATGCGGAGAATTGGGATCCCACAAAAACTAATAAATATTGTCAAGGAAATGTATGATAATGCGAATCGCAAAATATCTCACAGAAATAATTTTATTGAGCCGGTTCCAATAAAAAGAGGAGTTAGACAGAGCTGCATTTTGTCATCATTGCTATTCATCATAGTCCTGGACAGGACTATGACAGGACTATTAAAGATACCGATGGATGTATCAAGAAGTTTGGTATACCATTTCAATAAAAGACTGGAAAATCTAAACTATGCAGATGATATTTGCCTTCTTGCGCATACGCAATCAGATATGCAGTATAAGCTGAGGGCTTGCAAAGGAGACACAAAAGATAGGACTTTTAATTAACATCAATAAAATTAAACTTTGGAACGAAACGTAACATAAATGATTGGAACTATTGCAGAACTATCTAAAAATGCCTGCAAAAACCTGGTGGAATTCCTAATAATGCGGTATTTTATTCTTGTGATGTGGTGCCAGTTATCAGATTAAAAATTTGTTTACAAATACTTAAAGACCGGAACTCTTTCTGAAACTTATCAGGAACCATAGAACTCATTGAGAACTATAAGATTTGACAGTTAAAATGAATTTTTCGGAGGTTGCGGTGCCACGAGAAGTTAGTATCTTTTATTTTCAAAGTGTCATTTTTCTAACTATTTCGACGGAATTATTGTTCTAATCTATCAGGAACTGTGAAACTATTGTAGATGCAAATGGAACTTGCATAAAAACTTACGATGCAAGAAGATGAGGTGCCAACTTCACACAGACATAAAGTGGCCATTTTTTCCCATTCAGTCCATATGTCGATTTCACGTACATGAAGCAACACAGGACAAGTAGCCGGTATAATGCATTCTCAGAGATATCCGATATCCAGCAAGTCTTTTCACTATGATTTAGTAAATATATCTCACAGAAAGCTTTGTTCATGGATGTAATGTTTAGATTAACATGCTATCTAATGTTATATCTTAATTTCTTCTATTTGATTAGTTTTCTAAATATGGATGAATGCACATCTTATATTCTTATACCGTGACCATATCATATGATATCGTATTATACACTATCGCATCGTTTCACACCGTGCATATAGTATATTAATAATAAAAAGTTTAGTTTAATTATTTACTTAAAAAATGTAATTTCGTAAAGCAAGTATTTTAATAATGGTTTAGTTGATAAAAGATGCAATTCCAGCATATTTTTGATATGTAGATGCTCCTAAAGAATTTTAAAAAATTTAGAAGAATTTTACATAATGTAATTTGTAAGGGCCGATGAATGATAGTAGAGGAAGATAATAGGCATCATCTCAGAATTGGCTCAAAATACGCAATTCTGAGCACTAGGCATGTATTATGAGACTGTCCAGAATAAATTCCGATCAGAGTTATTCCATTTTTTCTAGAAAGGATAATACAAATCTAGGAAATAACTGAATAATTCCAATCGATATTTATTTCGAATCAATAACATATATCTTGATCTAACATTGAAGATCTATCAATTGTTTGTTGTATATTGCTCACATTAGTATTGCCTTAATCAGCAATGTGAGAATAGTATACATCATTGTATACATTGACATTAATCATAAATCGATTACAAATGATGAACTAACCTTAGATGGATCCAAGATAGTATTCAAAAATGTTTTTGATGTCAATTCTGGCACATGAATCTTTGAATGATAGGCAGAATTGCTGGTATTTTTATTATATAATTTCTGTGTTCTATATTGCTGTGAATTGTCCGAACGTAATGTTCGTTCTAATAAACCTTGCGTATAGTTATTTATGAAATTGACAAGAGTATACTCGCTGAAATCATGATGCATAACGTATTGACTTTCCAGCTATAACATAAATAAAAACTTAATAAAAAAACAAGATATTGTTTGCAATCTATAACAAATAAAAATGGGAAATTTTGAAGATCGAAATTGAGCAGTTTTAAATAAAAAAAATTTTTGAAATAAAAAACGTATTATACTTAAAATGTAATGTTGTCAAAACTTACTGCAGCATCTAAGATTACAACAGCAGTTTTATTTTTTCGTTTTGAGATATCAATCCCAAGATGTTCTGCAAAGTGGAAGTAATGCAAACTGTCAATAGCTATCAAAGCTAATGTCTTATTGGTTTTACAGACCGATTCTTTTAAGCTGATATTAAATTTCCTTGGAGAATCTTGCGGGAACAATGACGGATGATAATCATTTCCAGCCAACCATTTTTTTGCAATTCTCTTTTAAAAAAACTTTTTTTACCATACTTGCAGATCGCGAATCATTTTCCTCTTTCAATAGTGATGACTTATATTTTATATTTGCATGGAATCTTAAAAAAATTTCATTCTTAACACATTGTTTTAAAATAATATATTAAATATAATAAATAGATAATATAAATATATATATAATCATATATAATGTGCGTGCGTGCGTGCGTGCGTTGCGTTGCGTTGCGTTAGCGTTAG